ATGCCAGGTGGCCGGGAAGGTGACAGTCAACAACCGCTCATCCATCACCATCGCGGGCTTCACGTGAGCCCCGCGCGCGCCCCGCCTGCCCAAGCTTCCCTTGTCCGCCCGATTGAGATGCCCAACAGAATCTTGTTCAAGGGCTAGTCTGAGCCCTGCATGCTGCTATGGCTGTCGCGGCACGCCCCTCTCCGCCGCATACGCACGTTGCCCCGCCACAAGGCGAGCTCCTGCCGCCCTGTGTCCTTCTTGCGCTGGATCAAAGCCCCGAATTGCCAAACGAAACACCATTGCTTGGTATCTGGGCCCGTGATCCTGCGCACATCAGTCCCACTCCTCCTCTTCTCAAAAACCACCACCGCAACCTCACCCCAACCCCAGCTACGACGGCAAGGCGCCCGCGACCCACTGGTGGTGCGCCAAGTCCAACTCGCGCGCAGACCTGCTCGTCGGCTTCCGCGCGGCACCAGCGCGCCTTGATCGGGCTTACAACGCGGAGAAGGTGCGCTGCTGGCCAGGTTGCAGGTGTTAAGAATACTGCCGGATGCACCACAGCTGTGGGGCGGTGATCCATCATAACCAATCAAGCGGTGTGTAACACCACCGCCCTATACCTGTGCGTGCTTGTGACATCAAGAACCCAGAGCTGGCCAAGCCGGGCCAGCAAGCCGCCATATCATCGGCAGATTGCATGAACCCAGCGTACATGACATCGCAGCACCACCGCACACTGACGGAATCGAGTCCTGTCACTCCCACACACTCCGCACGCCCCGTCCCTGCCTCGTCCCTGCATGCCCCCCCCCTTTACGTAGCGCCGGCACCTCACACCCCCTGATGCACCCGCTGCGCCCCTCCTGGCCGCCCCGCAGGTCCAGCTGTCGCTCGTCCCCCAGGTCGACTTCTCCACAAACTGCCGCGTGCTGGCCGTGTGGTGCGAGACGGCCAAGGCCAACTTTGGTGACGTCACCATCACGCCCGCCGCCGCCGCCGCAGCACCGGCTTTCGCCTTTGCGGGCTTCACAGGAAAGCTGTCCAGCTTGGCGCACGATGTGAGTGGCGCCGTGGGGTGGCAACCATGTGCCGAGCCCGCAGTGCCTGCAGAGTGCCTGGCCCCCCGCCCCGCATCAAAGCCCACTGCCATCACCGCCATCACCGCCATCATCTCCATCATCGGCCGCCCCACCGGCTCGACGATCGGCACCGCACTGCCTCACGTGCCCGCCATACCACCTGCAAACATGCCAGGTGGCCGGGAAGGTGACAGTCAACAACCGCTCATTCGTCACCGTCGACGGCTTCACGTGAGCCGCCCGCGCGCCCCGCCTCCCACGCACCCCGCCTGCCCAAGCTTCCCTTGCCCGCCGGATTGAGGTGTCCAACAGAATCTTGTTCAAGGGCTAGTCTGAGCCCTGCATGCTGCTATGGCTGTCGCGGGACGCCCCTCTCCCCCGCGCACACTGCCCTGCCACAAGGCGAGCTCCTGCCCCCCTGTGTCCTACTTGCGCGGGAACAAGCCCCCAAATGCCAAGCGACACATCATTGCTTGGTGTTCGGGCCCGTGATCCTGCGCACATGAGTCCCACCCCTCCTCTTTACAAAACCCACCACTCCAACCTCGCCCCAACCCCAGCTACGACGGCAAGGCGCCCGCGACCCACTGGTGGTGCGCCAAGTCCAACTCGCGCGCAGACCTGCTCGCCGGCTTCCGTGCGGCACCGGGGCGCCTCGATCGGGCTTACAACGCGGAGAAGGTGCGCTACTGAGGTTGCAGATTTTGAGGTTGCAGGATGCACCAGAGCTGTGGGGGTAGTGATCCTTCAGAAACTATCAAGCGGTGCGTCACACCACAGCCCTATATCTTTGCGTGTCTCTGACCTCAAGAACCCAGGGCTGGCCAGGCCGGGCCAGCCAGCCGCCACATCATCGGCACAATGCATGAACCCTACGCACATAACATCACCGCACCACCGCACACTGATGACGAAATCACCTGTCGCTTCCGCGCACCCCACACACCCCACATGCCCTTGTCC